GGCTGCCTGGCCAGCCTGCAGCAGCCTGTGGGGATTCGCCTGCTTGAGGAGGCCCTGCTGCGCCTGGAGCCCGCCCAGCCGCCCACCAAGCGGGCCCGAGGGAAGACACGCCTACCCCCAGACATCCTCAGGTGGATGGAACTTGCCAAGTAAGCTGGTGCTCAGGTGTTCTCAGACCGTAGGGAATCTGAGCGCAGTAGTGTAGAAGGAGCCTTGGCCGAGTTGTTGCCGAAACTGAAATATAGTAAGTGGATGGTAACACTCAAGTGAAATATCAAACAGTCTTGCAGGCCGAGTACTGTTCTGTGAGGCAAGAAAAGCTGCCACAGCGAGGATTATGCTCAAGGAAAGAGCATTACTAAAACCTGTCAGTTTTGGTCAGTGTCCTAAGGCTGGCTAGTGTGGCCCACCAAGCAGTCTTTCCTGGAAAGTGTGGCTTAAACCCTAGGTCTTAATGTTTTTGTTTCCAGCTTCCCTGAACTGAATAGAGGATAATTTAATATTTTAAAAAAAATCAAAATTTTAGACCCAGTTTAAACAAATTACTTTGTGTATTTGGGAAAAACATATTTCATTTTTTAGTGAACCACTTTACAGTCTTTTTCTTCCTTGACCTGTGATTTACGATATGGAAGCTGATTCTGAGAAGTCAGATTGCGGTTGAAATGAACTTGAAGTTCTGTTTTTATACTGCTAATTTTTAGTGGATTTTTGTTTTTTCTTGTGTTATATTGTGTTTTGTTTTGCTAGAGGTTGCCTGTGTCTGCTAGAGAGATACAAAGAGAGAAAGTGAGAAATCCCCCTTCCCTTGGTAAACGGTAATACCACAGTCCCTTTTTTCTTTCTTTTTTGGGTTTTTTTTTTTTTTTTTTGCTATAGGGTGTGTGCACTCGCCAGAAAGTCAGACAGAAAGCAAGAAATCACCCTCCGGGGGGATGGCCACACCACAATTCCTTCTCCGTTCTCTGTGCCCAACGTGAGTTTAAGCTACTGGGTCCGGGACTCGAACAGTGGTTGACTACGTGGGAGTCCAGTGAGGTAGCCATTACACCATCTGCTGGCCCCACATCACAATCCCTTTTTTTCCTCATTCTCCTCTTGGAATTTTTGAACATATGTGCACATAAGCCCAGCATTTTTTTGAAGCCACAAGATCTGGGACTGGGACTGCACTATCAGTGGGATCCTGCCTCCTTAACCGTCACACCACTGACTGGCCCAGTATTTAGGTTCTAGGGAGGGTAGGGCATCCTTGCGTGTTCGCTCTTTTATACTCAGTTTCTGCCTCTGTAGTTCAGCACTGGGTGTGTAGGCAGAATAGAGTGTGGACGAGGATTAGATATCAGTCAGGCTCCCAGCCTGATGACCCAGCGGGCAGCGTGTGTGCTTTGTGAAAGCACCATGAGGGAGGGGTGCTGAGTCTGAGGGGAGCATGGAGAGAGAACGCCAGCTCATTCTGACTTGCCCAGGAGTGGAGGGGAGCGTTGCTTCAGGCAGGCCACACTGGGCGTGTTCAGTATCTGAGCAGCGAGAGGCCCGTGGGTGGGTATTTACTGGGGAAATGGTGCCTGTGGAGAGGTTTTTGCTGCAGCGCACGTGCACTCGACAGAGAGAGACAATTTCTACTTTGTAGACCTTTAATACTTTTGAATTTCACTCTAAATGCACATTAAAATAATTGCTACCTTTTGTATAACAAAACCTTGGGGTATCTTTGAAATTTATAAATTTTATATTTTTAGCAAAATAACATGTATTTTAGTTACTATAATGTGACATCTTGACTTAACATCATTTCATTTGAATAAAGAGATTACTAGGACGTTCGTTGATGGACCTTTTTTGGTTTGTTTATAGATTGTATAGGTCGATTGGAGAATATGATGTCCTCCGTGGTATTTTTAGCAGTGAGATAGGAACAAAGCCAGTCACCCAGAGTGCGCTGCTAGCAGAATCCAGAAGTGATTACGCCGAAGCTGCTAAGCAGTATAATGAGGTAAAATGATCTTTAGCAAATCTGTCAGTTTTCTGCATGGGGAAAAAACTAGCTTTATAATTTTAAAACTTCCTAATGCTTCACCTTTATTCCCTGGGCTTTACGTGGTGTCTAATAGCAGAGTAGTTTATAGCAGTCAAACATGAGATAGCTATCATCGTTATCTTCCTCTTAAAACGTCGTGGGATGAAAGGTTAAGCATTTCATAAATTACCGGGTAGAGTCACGTGTCACTTATCGATGGGGTATGTTCTGAGAACTGCCCCGCTAGGTGATTCGCGGTCGTGCGAAGATGGTGCAGTGTGCTGATACAGCCCACGACCGCCCAGGCCGCCGACCGCCATCACAGACAGGGCCCTCCGCTGACAGAAGACTGTCTTGCAGCACACGACGTGCACAGAATTGTGTGGGGTCACTTCTTTGTGTGCTGCCAAAGTACAGTTTCTGTGTGAGTTCATTGTTTCCCTTTAGTAAGTAAAAAATGAATGAAGAAGTAAAGAATTCCAGTTTAATTTTGTGTGTTTTGAGTTGCCAATGGCTTTCTAAGTATGGGTGGAATTCAGGGTCTCTGAGACTCTTGAGTCTCATTCCTCTGCAATTTCCTGCAAAAATATAGGTCGTATATTCCGATTTTCATTCTAAGAACCTGATCAGTATTACTACAACTCACCATATTGATTCTAATCAAATTACGGGTCATTTTTAGTCTCCAGTCTTATTAATTGGTTACACTGGTAAGTTTCTCAGAAGAACGGCATCCTCCTGGTTAATGCTTTGATCATTTCTTACTGTAAGATTTTCTCTGTTTAGTCTGGATATTTCCCCTTCTCTCTCACCTTGGGATAGTGCTGAAAATTACAGTTCTTAGTATGAATGTCACACTGCCTTCACGTTTCCACTGCATTTATTGTAAAATAATCTCATCATTTTTTTCTCTTCCAGGCTCTTAATACACAAGAGTGGGCAGATGGCGAGCCCACGGAAGCCGAGAAGGATTTCTGGGAACTTGCGTCCCTTGACTGTTATAACCACCTTGCTGAGTGGAAATCACTCGGGTACTGTTCCACAGCCAGTATAGACAGTGAGAACCCTCCAGATTTAAATAAAATGTGGAGCGAACCATTCTATCAGGTGAGTAGAACTATTTATAGTCACTGAAATAAATATGGTAAGTACTTTTTTTTTTTTTTTTTTGGAGAGGTTTTTGCTTTAGGGCATGTGCACTCGCCAGAAAGACAGAGAGAGACAGAAAGTGAGAAATCACCCCGCAGGGAGACAGCCACGCCGCAATCCCTTTTCCTCCCTTCTCTTGGGATTTTGGGCACGCACGCACATGCGCCTGGTGTGAATTTAAGCTCTGGGTTCGGGACTCAAATCGTGGTTGACTACATGGGAGTCCAGTGACATAGCCATTATGCCAACTGCTGGTCCCTAGTTAAGTATTTTCTAGTTAATTGTTTAAAACTCTTCAAATGTAGGTTAGTAATTGTAAACTGTTAGAATATTTGTGTAATTGGGACCAGCAGATGGCATAATGATTATTTTACTGGGCTCCCATGTAGTCAACTGTGGTTCGAGTCCTGGACCTGGTAACTTAAAACTAAGTCCAGGTGGTGAATGTGTGCACCCTATAGCAAAAATCTTTCTCTTAAAAAAGAAAATGAATATTTATGTAACCTATCCCCCTCCAAACACACACAAACTTTATAGAACTGTTAAATCTTTTACCATGTTGGGACCAGCAGTTAGCATATAGCTATGTCGCTGGACTCCCAAGTAGTCGACTGAGATTCGAGTCCTGGACCCAGTGGCTTAAACTCACGCTGGGCGCGTGTGTGTGCATGCCCAAGATCCTGAGAGGAGAATGGAGGAGAAGAGATTGCGGCATGGCTGTCCCCCCGGGGGGGAGGGGGGTGATTTTTCGCTTTCTGTCTTTCCAATGAGTGCACACGCCCTATAGCAAAAACCTCTCAAAAAAAAAAAAAAAAAAAAGAATTATACCAAAGAATACTAAAGACATAGCATTTGGCCATGCCCTGGTTCTGCAGTCACGAGTGGGTGTCTCTTCTCCTCAGGAAACGTACCTGCCCTACATGATCCGCAGCAAGCTCAAGTTACTGCTGCAGGGAGCAGATGACCAGTCCCTGCTGACCTTCCTGGACGAGGCGGCACGTCACGAGCTCCAGAAGGCTCTTGTGGAGCTCCACTACAGCCAGGAGCTGAGCCTGCTCTACCTCCTGCAGGATGACGTGGACAGAGCCAAGTTCTACATCGAAAACGCCATCCAGGTTTTCATGCAGGTGGGACAGATGGGTCTCCCGGAATGTTCTAGTTTATGATATGGGAAAGCATCATTAAACTCAGAAAAAAAAAATCAAGCGAAAGTGTTAATGTGCTATTTCAACCACCCATTTCCTTCTATCTGTTCATGTTTCTCTTAATATTGTTCTGTCCTTTGTCTTAATGTCTTTATTAAATCATTTTTTCCCCCGGTTTTAAAAGAAGTTCCATTTTGTTGTCACTCCAGCTCTTACCTTCCAACAAGGTTAAAGAACACTGGAGAGGAGACTGTTAGGAGCAGCCATGCAGAACCTTGACTGCTTCAAGGAGAAAGGCCCAGTGGATCTTCATTTTTTGATCTTTCTGTTCTTTTTCGCCTTCTGCAGACTCTACTGACCACTATCTGTCAGTGTTTGTGTCGAGCCGATTAATGACATTTATTGCTGTCATGTTGCTCAGAGGAGCGTATCTGTTCATTGCTTTCATTTTCATTTAACTATTTTGAAGTTGCTGAGTACACTCATGAGGAAGTTTATCACAGAAGACAGACCTGGTCTCTGTAGGTGGCAGTTTTACATTAAAGGATGTTGGTGACGGTTTTTCCTTTTTTTTGTTTTTGCTTTTGTTTTTTTTTTAAGAGGATTTTTGCTTTAGGGCAATGCACTTGCCAGAGAAAGAGAGAATTCGAAGGAGAAGGAAAGTGGGAAATCACCCCCTGGGGGGTGGCCACACCACAGCCCCTTCTTCTGGGATCTTGGGCATACATGCACACATGCCTGTCATGAGTTTGAAGCCTTTGGTTCCAGAACCTGAACCACAGTTGGCCATGTGAGAATGCGGCAGTGTCACCCTACGCCATCTGCTGACCCCGGTAGACCCCAAAGATGAATGGCCAGAGGCTAGATGGCGGCATGCAACGACAGAACATTGTGCTCTGGAAAAGCATGATGTCTGGCAGTGCTGGCCACATGGAAGGTTCTGGGTTTGCTTCCAGAGACCTCTTTGAATATAGTGGGTGCCCCAGTTCCAGGGCTGGCTGGAGCTGGGAGTCCTTGCGAGGTCAAGATCTTTTAGGGGGTGCTTTCTCTCTTCTCTCTCATGGAAGACTTAAATAAATTAAAAGAAATTTGTGCCAAAATAGAGGCAATTTGATTATATAATTTTTATTTATTTATTTAAATAATTTTTTAACTTTATTTTATTCATTTACTTATTTTAATTTGACCAGCAAGGGACAGAGAGAGAGAGAAAGGAAGTGAGAAAGCAAGCTGCCTGGTCCAGAACTCGAACTGTAGTCAGCCATATGCGGGTCCAGCTCCCTTAATCACCACGCTGCCTGCCAGCCTTATACATTTTATTTAAATTGAAATAAAATGTGATTGTAAATCTAAAATTAATGATGTGTTCATTGTTTCTGTGACCTAATTACTCTGAGACACTTTTGGTAATCTGTGTATTTATGTGACAGTTAACTGTATTTCATACTGTAAAGAATTATAGTGAAAATATAAAGTGGTAAGTTGATTTATAACAAGGCTAAATGTTTTTTTCTAGAATTATTCTAGTATTGATGTCCTCTTACACAGAAGTAGACTCACCAAATTGCAGTCCGTTCAAGCTTTAACAGAAATTCAGGAGTTCATCAGCTTTATAAGCAAACAAGGTAGATTTTTTACGATCATTATTCATTATTTTTTCTTTTCTAATTACGTAAGTTATAAAACCTGATTTTTTTCTTTAGGAAAGTGCGTGTTTCTTAGTGTATGGGTTGGAAACTACAGGACATTGTTCTACATACACATATTTTGAAATCATGGACATAAGTGTTGAAGGTGGCCAGGCACTGTTTCAGGCACTGGAAATGTGAATTAAAATAATTAAAATAAGACACACTGCACTCCCATCATGTGTCTCACGGGGGCCAGGAGGCTCTTGGAGGAGGATCAGCGTGGAGTGTGGGATAGGAAAAGGCTTGTGCTCCCTGAGGTGCCTAGCACCTCAGCCTGGGGGAGGGGGCGGGTCAGACCCGGCAACCTGGGGGCTGCCAGTCATGCCGTGGGCTGCCTTGCCCAGCGCCCAGCCTGCGAAAGCCTTTCATGATGCTAACGAGTGGCTCTTATCCCAGTGCTTATGGGAAGTACTCAGGGACAGAGTACTCTTTTGCAAAGGCCTAGTGTCTTAGGTATAAACCTAAATTGTAATTTTTATCATTAATGATGATAAAAAACTCAGAATACTAATCAAAATTGGTATTGATACTCATGTCATCTGTTTTAAATTTGGAAAATTCTTTTTCTCTTTTTTTCCCAAGACAATAAATCTTTATTGAGCTTTTTAGTTCACAATATATGAATATGGAGAATTATTGAAGTACATAGTACATAGTATCAGTGATATATTGCTTATAAAGTGTTTTTTGTGTGTTCTTGTTTTACCATTGGGCTCTCAGGAGCTACAGATAAGGGATTGAGAAATCACTCCCCTCCCCAGGGGGTGGGGAGGGTGCCCCGTCCAATCTTGGCACTTTAGGCAAGACCCAAATGTGCCCCATGTGATTTTCAAACCACCAGGTCCAAGCTCAAACCATGGAGTTAGGCACGTGGGACCCTTAACTACCCCACCACCTGCTGGCCCGGTATTACATAGCTTTTGTAACCACCTCATGAGCTGTACATTTTTTTCTACTTGCTTTTTTTTTTTTTTAAGTTTCTTTCTCTCTTTCTTTCTCTTGCTCTCTCTTTCTCTTTCTCTCTTTCTTTCCTTCTCTCTCTTTCTCTCTCTC